CTGTTCAGAGGGTGAGTGCTCACCAGTGTCCTTGTAAATGAAGATAGTATTTACCTTGTTGAGAGCAGGGCTGCAGAAATCAGGAGCAACTTGACTGTTGTCGTGTTTTTCATCACTCAACTTAAAAATGATCAGTTTTGAATCAGTTTGTTTTGCCTGGTTACTCCTCTCATCATAGAAGACAAAGCTGTGGTCAGGTCTTGAATGTCCAGCTTACTAACTTGAGTTTGAGGGAGAAAAGTCATCCCTGCATGTTTGTGTGCTTGCAGATGCAGCCCCAGCTGTTGCCCAAAGCTCTGACAGTGCGGTGGTTGATCATGGCCTCTGGCTCCTACAGCCGTGCCTCCAGCGCGCTGGCAGCCGACATCCAGAACAGCGACCTGGAGGACATCGAGATGTGCCGCGTGATCAATGACCGCATCATGATGGTAAGGGGAAAAAAACTCAGCCCATCAAGTTTAGTTGATTTCACAAGCTGCCACCTCTGCTTTTGATGAGCTGAAATTACAACTTTAGTGTTGGTTTAACTACCTTTGGATCGTATATTAAATGGGATACATCACATTTTAATCATAGTCAAGTGTAATAGTTGATGTAGTAGTCTTTAGTTGCTGCTTTCTGCTTTTCAGAGGACGGGGCTGTCCAATAAATTTGTTGATAACTGTTTTTATCCAGCTCTTTCATGATGTCCGTCTTCTTGCTATAGGTGGAAAGGAACTTCCTGTCACCCTACGTTTCTCCCAGAGACAGCCCCTTCCGTCACATCCTGCTGGGCTCTGGTCCCCACACCCTCAAAGCTCTGACCAACCACCTCGACTCTTTGACGACTGCCAACCCCAACGCAGACGCCGAGCTGTTCCGCAACCAGTTTGCCCAGGCGACCTGGACCATTCAGACCTGTGCCAACTCCCTAGCAGGGGACATCTGGTCTCTGGATAATGAAATCTAGAAAAGTCCTTTTCCCTCCCTTGTTCATGGTTTGGCCCTCTTATTACAACTGGCAGTGCTGTTGTGATTAATCACCACGTTTTCAGTGGATATCTACAAAGTCATCATATCGTTTCCACGATGTTCATTTGTTAAAAGCGCCGTATGATGACAATAAGTCAATGACTTTCTATAGTTTACCATGAGGAAAACTGTTTTTTTATACTATTGCTGCTGCGGCGTTCAAACCTGAGCTTTGCTTTTTATTTCACTAGCTGAAATATCTCATACTGTGATAGATACAGAAATTTCAGATTGATTTTTACAGAAGCACCAGTGTATAAAGATTTGGAATAATCAGCTGCATTAAACAAACAAACAAACAAACAAACAAACAAAAACAACAACAACAAAAACAAAACAAAACAACGCAAAGTCCTGATTATATGCATGAATTTAATAAAGTGATCTGAATCAAATACGAAACACATTTCCTGGCATTGGAGCTAATCTGTGCAGACCTGTCAAAGCAGGGGAGAAGGTCCTCAACCATGTGGCACTGAAACAGAAACCATGTGTTTATTTATTGAGTTATTTATTTATCAGTGGCAGGGGTCACTATAAATAGTTTTTAATCACCTTTCATATAAAAGTATAATTATCAGGAGCAGTAATTTCCAAAATGTTAATAACAGTAGGTAGTTTTTAAAAAATATTATGGTGATAGTGTTTCCCATAATGTGTACATTCAGTACAAAACTTTGTTTTCGCACACACAATTTCATTGGTTGAGTAATGTCACGTGGGATGGCTTATAACGTGCGCGATTAACCCGTTTGCTTCCTGTGTACGCACGTCAAGTACCATAAATACAAAAGAAAAAGCTGCGCACATTAAAAATAACCTTACCGTAAGTACGTGGAAAGCTGCGCAGAGTAAAATATAAACGGTCTGGTTCCACACAGAACGTCATCTGGGTCCAGATCTGGACCGCGATCCGCCCATTGCCTACTCAAGGGTTAGAATAAACAATGTAAATAAAAATATTGTCGTTAGAAAAAATTAGAGGAAGTATGTTACCACTGAGCGGTGACTCCAAACTCGTGATCTCGTCCTTTCACGCCCATTTCTTTCCCAACTGCGCTAAAGATCTTCCTGCTCAGAGAACTGCGCCCCCCGATTTATGATGCTGACATCGGGGACAGAGAGGCAACAGTCTGACACAGTAAGTTCGCCATGCAACACATCAGAGAGAATTTAGATAAGGATAAACGTAAAAGTGTTGTGCATTTGTTTCATTTGCTCATTAATTTGGGAAAATACACTCTGGTGTAGTGTAGTCTGTGTCGTGGAAAGAGCATTATTTGTTTTCGCACACACGCAATTTCATAGTCGTGTTTGATCACGACTATGTACTAATCAGATTAGTTTTCAGAGCTATATTTCTCACTGTGTAAGACACGGTCTGAGTGACTACAACGACTCTACGTGGAAACAACATCAACACCCGTCCGTGTGCTGCACAGTTTCTGCAGTCGCAGCGCGAATTGTTTTGACCTGAGAGCCGAGGTCGAGGTTTCAACTACTGTTTGCTGAGCAGAAAAAGTTTTATTTATTATTATTTTTGTTGTTGTTGTGCTATTCCTTTCGTAATTTCCCCTTAAATGGCCCACATGTCACTGCAGTATGAATGTTGCAGGGTTTTTTTTTTCAGCTTCCACCCCCCTGTATTTTAACGACAAGAGGTGCATTTTACTCCCTCCAGTTTAGACTCATTGTCCACTTTAGTCACATGCGTTGTCTGATAACTTTGAATCCACAGCAGAATTCTGCATGTGCTTCCTCTATGACAGTCCTCAGCCAGCAGTGGAAAGCCTCTAAGTGGCTCTGCAGTATCACATATGAGTTAATGAAAAACAATCCTGAGTGATCAGAAACTCTCTTCTGTAATCTTGTCGTGGGTGTAGTGTTTATGTGTTTGACATTATGTGCACGTTTAACAGAAATAATATTTCTTCTGATAATGCACGTACCTGTAGATATGATAAGAACTGTACAGGGAAGCATTACTACATAAGACCCCAGACCCATTTTTACTTTCAAGAAAACTATGGGAGAGTCAGTGTTAAAACTTTAACAGAAACTTTCCTCAATGTGTAAAGAGGTTTCTTATGGGCTAAAGAGATTCTTATGATTAGCTTGTATAGATTCTGTCCCATAGCTGAAGCTTCTTATACAACTTGCCTTTGACTTCTTAACAGTGGAGGAAATAATTATCTGATTTGTGATGAATCTGTAAGGTTGCCCACTTCCAAAGAGAAGAACAGTCTGTACTTGTTATGGTATTTTCATTTTAATGAAAAGAGACACAACCACAAATCCACAAAAAACACATTGCATAAAAGTTATAAATTTATTTGCATTTGTCATTGAGTGAAGGAAATAGTTGGCTATTGGAAACATCCAGAATTCTGGCTCCCACAGATTTCAATCAAACAATCAATCAATTACAAGCACTCCTGATCGCAACTCTTTATGAGTATAAATCGACCCAGCCCACAGAAACAGTTTATCCACTCCTACCTCGCCACCACGATGGGCGAGACCAAAGAGTCAGTGGTGTCATTGTGTGTCGACCTGTGCAGGACACTGGCCTTTTGCTCCCCTGCCAGCTCTGCCTTTAGGATAAGAAGAATCGGACCAATGACGAGACATATATTCTTTGGATGTTCATGCAAGTAAAAAGCAGCAACCCACTGCTCGCACTGTGAGGGATTTAAGTTGAATAAAAAGTTACATTCACGCACCACCTGCCTTTAAGTCTCTTTGGAGGATAAAATGCCTGTCATTTAAAGACTTAAACTTGGCTGGAGTAATCTAACTTTTTGGTTTATCTTCTCAGAATCCTCTAAAGCAGCCATGGACCAAGCAAGATCAGCGATGTCCCAAATTGTAAGTATTCAGTGAGTGTTATAAGATAAATCTTAAAATAACAAGCTTAGTATTAAGCTTGAATCCCTCCCTTTATTTATTTATTTTTCCATTTCCACCTCTTAACTGAAAGGTTACTTCAAATATACATTTCACTGTGCAGTATTTCCTTTGGCACAGGGACACTCTACCAAAATCCAATTCACAAACCAAGACACTTTTCTCTTGGGGGATAACACAAACTAAATCCAAATGGAAAATCTGAATCTAACTTACCACCTACCGCATGTAGCGAATCACTAGCCTGCTAGTGCACTGCACTGAAACTGCTCTGGTGTAATGACTGACCTGCTTAGAGGAACTGTCGAGGCCGAACACAAGAACTTCAGTTTTTAGCACTGAGATGGAGGAAATTTGAAGACTTTCAATCAGTAATGACAGTGAAACATTCACTGAGGCAGGAGGGATTGTTGAGGCTTTTGGATTAACAGAAAAGTAAAACGGTGTATCGTCAGCATAGCAGTGGTATGAAATGCCTTTGAAACTGTTTAATCGAAGACTCGTGGTAACATATATTAAGAAAACAGAACTGGATCAGTGGGCATGCTGTCTATGATTCCCACCCAGGTTCTATATTCTTTGGTAGTTACTGAAATAATCTGTTTTGCTTACCCTGACCTTTTCTGTTTCTGTTTTGTTAGTTTAATAATGAACCACACTCCTACACACGATTCAACTTGCCTGATAATATGGAAGGTGACACCAGCCAGGTGGAGATGATACAGTCGTCTGACATGAATGAGGAGGTTGGAGAGAATGGCGACGAAGACCACCTTAGCCACAAGTCAAACCGCCAACCACACGTGGCTCAAAACTTTGAATGTACAACCAAGAGCCTCTGCTTCATGGCAGCTACCATCGTCTTCACATTTGTCATTGGTAAGAGAGGGACAAAGGCATAGTTGGCATATTTCTGTTTGTCTGAGAAAGTCCTAGAAAGTTACATTTTTTAAAAACATTTTCCATGTGTGTGTGAAAACTTACAAAGTATAATTTTATCATCTGAAAAACATAGTCCAGCTTTGACCTTGCATTCATCTGAGCAACAATTTGACAGTTTATAGCCATGAATTTAGTTTGGAGGTGTAAGCGCTGATAGTGTACAAACTTTAGGTCTCTTGGTCCCTCACTGGTATTTCAAAATGCTGACTCTGTGCTATGGTCTGGTCTTGGGTGTGTTCCCTTTCCTTATTAGTAATTGTTTCCTCATTTTAAATGACTACCACGTTCAGGCTATTTGACTGGCTACCTGGTTCATAAGAATAAGGATCTGAATTGCTCCTGTGCAACTTCTGAAGATGATATTACCCATGAGACTGGTGCTGTCCCTTTCATGGACTGGGATGATGTGAGAAAACTGCTTGGTGATAAACTAAATACATCCAACTTAGAGATTGCACTAAGGTGAATAGAAACCCCACACATTGCATGTACAGTGCTGTACAAATTTTATGTGCATTGCAGTTTTAAAAGAGAATAACTGGGCCCTGTTTTCTTGCCTCCATTTGTTTTCCCTGTGTTCGTTCACAGTCAGCTGAACAGCAGCAACCACCGGGCTGGTTCTCCTGGTGATGAAGATCTGGGGAACAAGGTGATAACAAAGTTTAAGGAGTACGGCATGAAGACCTGGACTGATGAGCACTTTGTCAAGGTTCAGGACCCCCCAGCATCTGGATACAACAGAATAGTTTTCAAGAACGAATCAGAGGAACATCCAACAGGTTTCCTGTCCTACAGCGCCAGTGGAACAGCAAGGGTAATCAGAAGGCTAAATTATGAGTAGGAAAAATGTACAGTGACACTTGCAGTGACATTTCAGTTTCTGATGGCTCCAGGGTGCAGTGCTGTATGCCCATTATGGACAGGAAGAGGACTTCCAACAGCTGAAGAACATGAACATCAACATGAATAACAGGGTGATGCTGGTCAGAGCTGGAAGGATCAGCTTTGCTGAGAAGGTGGGATGCTTAAAAAGATGCAAAAGTTGTATTAATAAACTATTCAAACAGGAATTATCTTTCCTGGGGTGACTTGGGTAATATCTGTGCGTGTTGTAATTCCTTGCAAATCTGTCATGTCCCTAAATTGCAATTTGAAAATGTCAAAATATCAAACAGAAGTTTTAGTCCAGTTTAAATCTGGTTTTGTTTTTGTTTTTTGTGTGTGTGTAAAAAGCTTTGAGTTCTCTACACTTTTCTTCATCCTCTTTCCTGCATGAGGCTGTGATGAA